TGACGTGCCGAGGGGTAGGGGCAAAGCCGAAGCACTCGCTCGTGGCCGAATGCGGGGGCGACGGAATTGATGCCCCGCACTCGGTTGCTTCCTTATGGGTTATTATTTGGGTTACCGCGGATTCCGCGGAAGTTGTGTCCCTGGCGTGGTCGTCTTCCCCACCAGTTGTGAGTTTAAGAAACTCGCGGAAATCCCGCTCCATGACGGTGGGCGGGCAAGGGAATAACCAGAATTCCCGTGCAACGCGCGAGCACGGAAGGGGGGAGGAAAATATATGTATGGAAAATGCACCCAATAAAATGTTCTCTTAAAATTACGCTGAAAATGGCTAGCAGGGGGGGACGGCTACCCTGGCTTGACCAGGTTGTTTACGCTTCCCTGTCGCGATCCCAACACTCGCGTTCGAGGGGAAGGAGCAGGGGGAAAGGATCACCTCAGCTACCCACAACGGGTGTTCCACTGACCGGGCTCACGACGGCAAGCCTTAAGTGGTACTTGTCATCATTGGCGACTTAAATGGGAAGGGGGAACATGGTAGTGAGGGGAGCAAGGGTCCTAAAAAGAATGATCCCAGAACCGGGAATGTTGGTGATCGGATTCAGCGAACGAAGAACCGATACGGCAGAGTGCCTCGATCGGAGGTTAGGGGTAATTTGCTTCTGATGAGCTGGCGATAGAGCCGAAAAGAAAATTAGATAGCAGGCTGAGGGCCTTGTGTCCAGGGATGCCAGTAAATTAATTTTTAAAACCCCTAATTTACAAGGGGGGTGAGGTTAATTTGAGATAACGAGAGTAAATCAAAATAACGAGAGTAAATGAAATAGCGAGAGTTAATCGAGTCGAGGAGCGGCTGATGGCCTTAAGATTAGTAATCGAGCAGGGTGGCCGTGGTGAAGATAAATGAGGGACACAGTTCTACTGCACCTTATCCAATAACCCAAAAGGACTTACTACTTAGAAGCTCTTGTAGACTGGAAATAATCCGTTAAGGGCACGATCACTTCACTGTTCACCGATTATGGGTTGCACACGCGGTATAGTTCGCACACAAGGAATCACTGTTTGAGCACACGGTGTCGAAGGGGAAACACGCGGTCCAGGATGCCGGCTGCACGTGGTCCTGTAAAAGGAGGGCAAAAGCACGCGGTCCAAAAGGCCAGGCGTCGCCGGGGCTGCACGTGGTTCTGTAAAAGAAGTGCAAAAGCACGCGGTCCAAAATGCCGGGCGTCGCAGGGGCTGCACGTGGTTCTGTAAAAGAAGTGCAAAAGCACGCGGTCCAAGATGCCGGGCGTGCAGGGGCTGCACGTGGTCCTGTAAAAGAAGTGCAAAAGCACGCGGTCCAAGATGCCGGGCGTTGCAGGGGCTGCACGTGGTTCTGTAAAAGAAGTGCAAAAGCACGCGGTCCAAGATGCCGGGCGTTGCAGGGGCTGCACGGGGTCCTGTAAAAGAAGTGCAAAAGCACGCGGTCTGAGATGCCGGGCGTTGCAGGGGCTGCACGTGGTTCCTTAAACGGAGGGAAAAACACGCGGTCCAAAAAATAGAAACAGGTTGATGCTGGAACAAGCGCTGCGGGTCAGCACGTGGTGCGGGGGTTGAATTAGGGGGCCCCGATCACAAGCTCACTGACTTTATAAAAACTAATCACTTGCTGGATGCACCGAAAAACCGACTTGCTCGAAGAGCCGTTGCTCTGAGTAAAAGATGTCGCGTAGGTACTACCGGACTCGTCTAGGCG